TGGGTGTATTTGGGTTGCTCGGGAGGGGGGTTGGCAGGGAAGGGAGATCTTCCCTGCTGAGAGTCAGAAGCTCCCTCTGAGCTCCTCCTCAGAAACGGGCCCGATTCGTCCGCAAGAGGAGGCCGGTAGGGACTGAATGGGGGAGGGAGATTAAGCTAAAACCTGCAATTCTGGGAAACCCTTCAGCGTGGTGCTCCAGCGGGCCCTTCTGCATTTAAGCGGGCAACCTTAGCAAAGAAGGTGAAGCTGTGCCTATATTAGCTTCAGCAGAACTTCAGAGAATTGAGAAAGAATTTTCATTTGGCCACAAGAATTTACACCCAGCTGTGGGTGGACCGAAGATCAGTCCCCAATTTCGTAGTATTTTGCTCTGGTCTTTCAAGGGAAGAATGGGTTGAAGACAAAAGGTCTTCTTTGCTCTCGGAAGAAAGATGTCTGTTGTCACCTAAAATGGCTAGAGAGAGAACCCAGGAGAATCAAAGCTCCTCTGGGCATATTTTTAATCTCTTCAAAGAGAAACAAGATGTCTTGCCCCACCCACATGACCTTTGCTTCCACCTTACAGAGGACACCTTTAAGAAAGAGAAATAAGCTTTAAAAATCACGCTGCCAGACAGTGCTTGTTCTTCCTTCCAGGTTCATCCCTTGCCACCCACCTTCTCCCCCAGCGTATTTCTGTCTAAAAGGAGCGTCTTCTACCTCGAAGAGTTGCTGGGCTTGTGGAGATGAAAACCTGGAATTCGGAGGCATTGGGAGTATTGCTTAGGAAGTTTTTGGGACCGAGGTGAAGGCTTAGTCTCGAGGGACCATGAATGATGATCTGGAAAGGACAGATTAGAAGACTCTGAAAAAAAACACCCACACTTGTCTCTGGAAGCTGTCTCCTAACCCAAACTAATATTCCTTCCCCACCCTGCCCTTCCTCTGTTGATAGCACGGTGTATTCACATGCCACAAACACGCAACGCTTCTACCTCTCTGTATGTTTTCACAATCCCCGAGATTTCGTGGAAGACTGTGGCTTTCCCTGGGTGCTTTGCAAACGCTGCTCCGCTCACCACGTCCATCTCCAGCACATCGCTGGGGGTGATCTGCCATGTTCCAGGTTCCCCTGAAAACAGAGAAGACCTTTTCTCCGTGGGCAGAATGAAGCCACGGGCCAGATTCCAGACTTGAAGTTTTCAGTTTTGAATGCAAATGCACTCCTGGCTACGTTTGCATCACCCGCTTGGGTAGATTAAGGCTCAGGGGGTGCATTTGCATAATGCTGGAAGTTTGGTTAGTACGACCTGAGGAAGGGAAAAGCAAATTCATCACCAGTGCATAATCACATCTCTTCCACAATATGCCACAAGATTTGATGGCTGATCAACATAGCTTAGCTTTGTAACTCTGGAGTAGCAACAGGTATGAACAGCTTGCCAGCTCTGGGCATGCTTCCTTATATCCTTAAAAGCTGGAGAAATCAGAGGCAGAATGACTTCTGGTTCCTTCTCTAACCAGCATCACCAAAGGGCAATTTGAATCCTGAATGCATCTCTCAAGGTTAATAGCTTATATAGCGCGATGACGATGACCTGGGACTAGGGATGGACCAGAGCATAGTACATTGCTTTCAGGGAGACCAAGGTTCTCTCCTTGGAGGGCGAGGGAGGATGTCTCATCCCTGCTGATGTCAACTTCTTTCTCCTCCCAGAGGTGACTCAGTTCTCCAGAGAGACTGTGGGGGCTGGTCCACTGACCTTCCTGGTTAACAAGAGGTGTGCTGAAACACACTACATCTCCCGTGGCAAGCGGGGCAGAGAGATCTGGCTCGATGGCATGTTCCACAGGGACGGGAATGTAATCCGCCATGCCTGGGTGTTTCTCATCCCAAACTCCCACTAGCGTAACGCCTCGGTTCACGGCTTGTGCGATGTAAGTGTAATTCTTGCTGCTGGGCCGGATGAGCAACAGGTCATCTCTAAAAATGAAACAGATGGAGGAGAGTAAAGGAGCTTCTATAAAAAAGAGCATTGAAATCGGAGCCGGCTGGAAGACACCCTATGCAACACTGGGACCACAATTCACCTTTTCCACTCCCTCAATGTTCTCAATCAGTTATACTGCTGGGGTTGGTGCGTATGTGAGAATGAAAGGTGTGCCATTCAGCAAAGCTTTGCTCGATTACTGCCAGTCAAGTGAAGAGGTTGATGAAGAATCCTTTGCGTGCCGTGTGTCATTTTGGGTGAGGTATTCGCCCATCCAAGATCCCAGAAGAGTTGATATCACACTGAAAGGTGTGTGTGTTCCCTGCATAAACTCCTGACTACTAGGAACTCCCCAGCAATTTCCAGATGACCATGCCTGACCGTACCCAAGCGGTGGAGCTTCGCAAGTGGGGACAGCTGGTCTTGTGAACCTGAATGGGTAGCGTAAGGGAACCTGACTGACTGTAAATGAGATATAAATGAAATATAGGGCTACTCAGCACCCCAGCAGCTTTCCAGGGGCCATGCTCACAAAGTCATGACCCTAAACCTGCCTCTTCTGGAGGAGGCCTACCTGTTCAAGGCCAGATACAGCTGGGTGTTCTGGGCATGGAACTTCTCCCCGACGCTGTCAAAGAACTGAACAGTGAGAGTCAAAGACATGCCCAAGGGAAACGCCAGCAGAGGGGCCCGGCTGGCTGTGTAGAGCTTTGGGGTGCTGCTGAACTGCAGGTAAGATACTGGGGCAACCTGGAAAGAAAATAGGGTTTTCTCAGCTTCCTTTCCAACGGCTGCGAGCCCAGCTGTCAGAGAGGCTTCACTGCTTGACAAGGCAGGCCTCGTTCGTAGACTCCCTTACCCGCACACCGGTGACGACGGTCTGGTTGACCCCAAAGAGTTCCAGGGAGGTCACCTCCAGCACGGCTGTGCCTGTCACCGCCCCCGCCTTCAGGAGGCCGTGCCCATCCTCTTCGATGACCGAGGAGTTAGGGAAGCACTGCAGGATCTGGGTGCTCAGAAAGGCTGCCCCTTCCCTGAGAGAGGATGGAAGAGCGAGCGAGCCGTCTGTTTGGATGGGGCGGGGAGGAAGAGGGCAAGGTGGGCAGGTCGATCTCAAGACCCAGAAGGCAGCCACGATCGGTGGATCAGGGAAAGGTGGGGCTTTGCTGCACATCCCGACTGGAACGGGGCTGGAAGGCCACTGCCTTTGAAGGCGGTATTATCTGTGTGGGGCGCCCCATTCCCAGTCACCTCCCCAGAGAGATGTTATCCCTGCCTGAGTACCGTCCCTGGTACCTGTTTGTAAGTAACTTGAGTTCTGAATTCATGGACATCAGGATTTGCTCAGCGGGGCACTCTGGGGAGAAGAGCTGCAGCTTGTCGAAGACCTGTAAGGGAAGAGCAAGGAACTTCCACACGGGGCAGGAAGGAAGCCAACATTTAACTGAATAAGGGCCCACCAGCTGTTTCCTGACTCTTACCAGTATCTGCACTTCATCCAAGAGTTCGGTGAGGTTTCCTTCAAACTGCCCAGCTTGGGCGTCCAAAGTCCGCACCATCACCCTGATGCTCGTCCTGCCAGCTGCTCTTGTCTGCAGGACCATGGCAAAATTGCTTTCTGGAGGAAGGTCCAAGGAAATCTGGTGCAAAAGGGGAGGGACTGCATTGTGACCCCTTTTCTGCTTCTTCTCAAGACCGGGGCTCCGACTGAATGCAAGACTGCTGCAGCCCAAACAAAGTCCTGGTCCGTGTGTAAGACACGGAGCCGCGAGGCGGAGTTTACCCGCCTCGTAGAGATTCCAAATCAAACCCACCATATCATGTAAGGCTGCTACGCAAACCCAGCACTCAAAGAGGACACCTCTGTTGTCCAGCGGGCAACGGTCCTCTGAGAGGGATACAAGTTCTACAGCATCAAATTGGACAACAAATTGTAACTCAGTAATATCATGCTAGAACAGTGTTTCCCAACCTCAGCAGCTTTAAGATGTGTGGACTTCAACTCCCAGCAATGCTGGCTGGGGAATTCTGGGAGTTGAAGTCCACACATCTTAAAGCTGCTGAGGTTGGGAAACACTGCACTAGAGCCTAGTTTTGAAGGCTCTTTGCTGAAATACATGTATGGTGAGCGAGTTTTAAAGCAGGAAGTCCTTCACCTCTGAATGCCTGGGAAGAAGGTCCAAGACGTCCCGTTTGCTCATGGCCCAATGGAACGTCAGGGGCGGGTGAGTGTTCCCAAAGGAGAAAGGAGTCAGCGTGCTGGTCAGTCCAACAACGTAAACTGGCATCTGCGAAGAAGGGCTTCACGTGAGATATTCAGATTTGCATCTAGGACTGGGAGAATGCAGGTTGGAGTGGGATCTCGAATCTGGGCTTGTTCAGTGGGTAGGAATCAAGCCCAATTACTTCTACAGATTACCCGGATTGCAATGTATAGAGGACGCCTCCGTTCGTGACACACAGATTTTCACGGACAGGTGTGAAACATGACGAGATGACTCGCCGGACCCACCTTAGTGCCCGTGACAAGTCGAGTGGCAGGAGCGTGGATCCGAATCATCCGCAGCTGAACCACTTCCAGTTCCACTTGATCCTGAGGAGGAAGATAGCGGTTTCCCCTCCTATCAAGATGTCTCGTGGAGTTCAAAAGGTTGGCCTTCTCTGGCCTCATGCACTTCATGCCACACGGAACAGTTCCAGCCTTCATCCTGTCTGAATTTGCGCATCTCCCGCCCCAATGTCGAGCCCTCCAGATCTGTTGGGTTAAACCCCATCCCCCCTCCGTGCGAGGAAGACCAGGAGCCGTGGATAAGGGCAGCTGTGTTCCCACCTGAGCGCTGGGAGAGGGAAGGCTGGGCAAGTAGGACAAAGAGATGGGTTTCAGAACGGAACTGCGGTGACCGATTACGATGGCAGGGAGAGAGAGAGAGAGGAATGGAGGTGACGAGAAAGCAGTCCAAGCAAAGGAACAGTTTGTCAGCCACACCAAAAATACCTGGGAGAAGACGATGACTTTTCCCGTGTCCTCGTTGACGGCTCGAATGCTCCCCAGGATGAACGCCGTGCCCACACCCTTGGCGGTGACCTGCCCCAGTCCATTAACCTCGGCCACTGTTTGGTTACTGATTGAAAAGTGAATGAGGGACTGAGGCTGGGGGCCCCCTTCTGACATCACCTGCAGTTTGATGCAAAAAGAAACAAGGGAAGAATGCCGAGTGGAGCTCAGACAAGGCCCGCGCGTGACAGTCTTCCTGCCCACCACAAAGCCTGCTTGATGTTCTGCTAAGGCAGAGGAAGAATTGGGGAATGTCTAATAATCTGGGCTACCTCACGCCTCTGATATATGAGAAAGATATGGGATGGCTGGAACATGACCAGATGCTCCCCATCCTTGCACTGGTGACTCTCCTATCTTGGATCAGGGAAAAAGGGTCAAAATAATCTAGGTTGGATCAGCAGAAAGAAGGAACGGAAGCCTCGGAATCCTTTGGACTGAGAAAAAAATCTTGTTGGGTCTCTCTGATTACATCTGCAGGAAAACCCCCAAGCTCAGAGGACATCAAGATTCCAACAACTCAACCCCATTCTCCACCACGGTGATCTGGCGCTATCTGTGGGGAGAGTGAAAGCGACGCCTTTGCAGAGAGAAGAGGGAGGGGGCATGACCCACTAACCAGCATTGCCTGCTTGGAACCTTGGATTCACCTGCATCATGTTGTGGGGGATGAGTGTCATTTTTTCAGGGATGAGCCTGAAGGGTGGGAAGACCTGGGAAAACGCAAGTGTCAAGTCAGTTTTGGGTAAAAAAAATAAAAAATAAAAAATA